TTCTTAAACTTGACTCCCGCCTGGTGTAATTTTGTTGCATTTGGTATGGTTAAAGTTTTGAGTTTTTTTTTTGTTGGAAGATCAGAAGGTCGATGACATTGTAGCAAAAAGTCAACAAAATGGTGTATTTTAGTCATAGGTTGAGAGAATTTGTGCAAAATTTCATGAAATGGTCTTTTGTAAACCCTATTGCGGAATAACATATAGGTTAGGGTAATGATGGAAAGCCCTCTTTCGAGAGGAATTGTATTGTTGGAATAGGCTAAAAAGTAGAGATACTCGAGGATAAAGAATGGCACCTGATTTTCAAGCAACAACATGTCATATATAATATCCCTTAGCATCCTTGGTTTTCCAAATATTCGGTCGTTTTCGTTTTGTAGTGATGGTAAAGAAACTCTGAGCATGACCTCAAAGGTAAAAGTGGCGTCAACCATAATCACTTTTACAAGGTCATGTTCTCTCAATTTGATGGTTACTGCATAAGAAGCACGAATTTGTGCTTGCTTTTCCATCATTTTTTCGAAAAGATACTCCAACCTAACATTTGTTCGTTCAAGAAAGTCCTTCATGTACCGCATTTTATGCTCTTCCATGGCTTTTAGGCTTTTTCGACCATGGTGAAGGGGGCCAATTGAGACCACCTGAGGTGTATAGGCCTTGTTATTTACACCACGTAGTCGCTTTGGAACCTTGTAGATACAGCACTCAGAGGATAAGGGAAGCAGGTCATTCAAATTATTTGTAAGTTCTTCCATATCTGTATCCCCACAGCCTGCAATCAAACATTGTATGGTCATGGTCAGATATATATATATATATGTTGGATTATATGTTCTTTGTAATAAATAATAATATTTGGTGCAAATGATTTAAATTAGATTATGTACAAGAAAGACTTACCAGAATCTCTGTTGCTCATTTACATGCAGCCAAATAAGAACAGATTTCTTTATTCTTAGAACCCAAAGAAGAGTGATTGCTTGTTTGTGGACCTAAGGTGACAACGGAAACAAACGAATTTATATCCTCCCTTTTCAATCTCATGCTTCCAGTCAAAACATACAGAAACAAACGAAATTCCATATAAAGAAAAGAATAAAGTTACAACATTTTAACATGACCCTTTGCTCATTTCAAAAGTCCAACTACCATTGAAACATAAGAAACTAAAATTTTCAAGAAAATGCTATCAATTGAAAAAACAATAAATAAATAAATAACCAAAAAGGAAGGGAATTCGCACCTGCTATGCACAAAATAGCAATTAAGTCGGTTACCAGAAAATCTCAATGACTTTTTTTCTTCTCCTTTTTGTTGTGGAAAAGAAGCTCAATGATTGAAATAATATCTTCTATCTACCCTCTTCAATGCAGGTAGTGTGGAGTGTTAGCTGATGTTACTATTGACACGTGTCCTTGCTGAGGTGGCAAGTTTGTTAGCTCTTCACGTGCTTATTAGTGTGATTAATTAGTCTGTTAAGCAGATTAGCTTAGTAAAGAAGTCATTGTTACTCAGCTATATAAGCTTGGGTCTGGTTCATTTCATCATTTTGTAGAAATACAATTTCTGAGATTATACGGAGCTTTACTTTTCTCTCTTCGTCACTTCTTCCTCTCCATAGTTAACACGGGGTACGTAGAATTTTCTCCTATGTAACAACAAACTTCTATAATTGATGTGGGTGTCTACTTCATCTTCCACATAAGATGGTATGATATACAAATGTGATAAGAGTAGCATTATTCTTTGTTCAGACCTAATAACAAAGTTCTAAGTCAACACATCATTCTTTTACACCATAAAATTCAACTAGGTTTATTCTATGACCTTATGCTCGATCATTTTCCACAAGCAACCGTATTTATTTTATATCAACGAGTACGATGGTCCATATTAAGTATATCCTAATAATTCACTGGAGTTGCAGGCCCCAATCATTTAAAAGGTCCGATGGTCTTTGATTTGGTGAAAGCTTCTATCTATCTACCCTGCTATATGAGCTATGCAATGGTGATGGTGTTACATGACGTCACAATGTCGTAGGGGAAAAAAATAATAGTCGAGGTTTCTTATTATAATGTTTTAATACAAAGAGCTTATTGCTTCAGTAGTTAAGAGAAGTTACTCATTCACTTGAGATTATGTGTTCAATTGAATTCCCTCTCCTCCAATATATATATATATATATTTTTTAAATGAAGACGTTAATATTGTATTCTATAAAGTATTGGACATGTTTTATATTGTTAGACAACCCACTTATACTTTGGTGGTGCCTAGTTATATTCAATTCGTGTGTATTTAATTTGCCACTTACATTTTTGCCTTAATACATTTAGGTTTATTTTTATACTAATTTCTCCAACATAACTTTTGCACATTCTTTTAGTCTCTATATCTAATATATATGTTCTAATAAATCATCTTACCCACTTAAGTTATAAACCATTTTCTTTTAGTGCGGAAAATCGACATTTTGACAGGGAGTTGAAATCAAAATTTTGACAGGGAGTTGAAAAGCACTCCCCAATTTTAATATGTCAACCACTTGAAATAAAACAAAAGAAAATGAACATAAACTCCTAGTGGGGTTATACAAGCAAACAAATAAACTCCTAATTACACAAGATTTGTACAAAAAAGAAAGAAATAAAATCCTAATAAAAGAAGAAATAAATATCCTAATAGAATTAGGATCTCTTCAACACTCACCCTCAAGTTTGAGTAAAGATGTCACGTATGCCCAACTTGTTAAGCGAGTTGAGAAAAACAATAGTAGACACAGCTTTCGTAAGAACATCTGCTAGCTGATACTCGGATAATATGAACGGAAAAGAAATAAATCTCAGCATCCAACTTTTCTTTAATAAAATGTCTATCAACCTCCCCATGCTTTGTACGATCATGTTGCACAGGATTATGAGCACAATACAAATCCATGGGTTTCTGAGGCTCAAACCTAAGATCTCCCAACAATTTCCTTAATCATAGTAACTCACACACACCTTGAGCCATCCCACCATACTAAATCTACATTTTTTTTTAAAATGCGATAGAATTTTATTAGATTAATAGGCACTACTAGAAAACCTCCATATAAGCCACTAATACACCCTTGTGGCTTATACTAATCTGAGCCATTGACAAACCCGTGGCCAAAGAGCATTGGCCGCATGTCATATGACAATGGTCAAAGCATAGTGTTGTCATTCATTATTCCCCATGGCAACCAGCATCCGTGGCCAATGAAGAGCTGGGGCCCACCCATACTCCACCTGTCTGTATGTAGATCTTCGAGAATATAAAAAGAAACATTTTTTTATTATTAAACATGGACACAAACTGTGGCTAAACTACAAACTTCTTAATAAAAATAAAAATAAAAATAAATAAATTTTTGTTACAATCATTCTTTTGTACAACTCTTGAGTATGTACGTACTTTACTAATTTGCAGTACAGCCCACATACTGTAAAAGAAACCACCTCAATACTAATACGAGTATCGTGGGATGTAGTTCCACAAAATCTGAAAGTTGTGGTTGAGTTACTTGCTGGAGTAACTTTGGTGTTTCTATTTAAGATGTCGAGTAACTTTGGAGTTTCTATTTAAGATGTAATTTTTCATTCAAGTTAAATGATTCAAGTTGAAGTCTCTCAGCCTTCTCCTATTGTTTTTTCAACGTTCTGGTTATTTTCCTTTAGCCTTTTAATTTTCAACACTCTTGGGCCAATACGACCATCATCAATGGCCTCAGGAAGACCTTCCTCCAAGGGTCGAGCTTCCATATACAGACGGTTATATGCTTGTTGGGTGACTTGCTCATCACAGTACGACTAGACTTCTCCAGGACAGCCTCACGGAAAGACACAACAGGGTCAAATTTTATAATCTCAGCTTCACCCATGAAATCATCTTGTAGATCCTTCAAACAAATCTCAAGATGGAGTTCACCGGCACCAGCAATAATGTACTCTCCAGATTCCTCAATGGAACAGACAACCATAGGATCAGACTTGGCCAGACGTTTGAGACCTTCAACGAGTTTGGAAGTCAGAAGCGACCTTGCATTGAACAGCAACACGCACAACAGGTGAAACAGAGAACTTCATAGCACGAATGGGGTGAGCATAGCCGTGCGGCTTTACTACGGTAATTTCTTAAAACAAAATAGTACACGGCTATACTTATTTTGACACGTGGGTGCGTTGGCGCTAGGCGGGTTCCTTATTTTTTTCTACAAATTGTATATAACCGAGCGGCTTTACTAAGGGTTTTTTAAAAAAAAATCGTATAGCCGCTCGGCTATACTTGTTTTCACATGTGGGCGCCTAGCGCTAGGCGAGGGCTTTTTTTATTATTTATAACTCGTGTAATTTTTATTTTTTTCAAAATAGTATAGCCGATCGGCTATACCTGGGTATTTTTATTTATTTATTTATTTTTCAAAATAGTATAGCCATGCGGTATTACCGGGTAATTGTTTTTTTTTTTAATAAATAGTATAGCCGGTCGGCTATACCCTTTATATATATACTAGGATCCTTTTTTTATTTTTTAATATATTTTTCCCGATTTTCTTTTATCAATAAGAATAGTAGTTTAGATGATTATCCATTACTATTAGGCCATTACCCGAGTCTCTATTGTCCCATTTTGATTTTTTACTTTCTTAGAGTTATTACGAGTATAAAGAATTTAGCATTTTTTACATTTAATGCTCGTATTATACACGTATGTACATATTTTTCTATACACGTCTTAAAGACTCGGTAAAATACATGTTTTTTAAAAAGCAAATATACAATACTCATATTTAATACACGTGTTTTTTTACAAAATTTTCAATATTCACAAAATTCATGTATTATAGATAGATACTGGCCGGTTTAAGAATTGGCGGGATACAAAGTGTGGAGTGTGTACGATTAACAATGATTTGTTTATTAATTATATACGAGTAAACATAGACGGTTGAGATATTCAAGTAAGAAGAGACTAACTAAATCACCGCCGGGTTCAGGGTTGCATATGCAAGCAACTCCTTACTACTTTCAATCATGTCCATGTCGTCTTTCTTCAAAGTCAATGACGCTTCTATGCCCACGCCGTCACTCATATCCATCAATGCGACCATGTTCTTGATTTCAATGCTACGGATGCTCACCCATGACGGCTTTCCCCAACCAAAATTGGTTTCGTAGAAGGGAAACCGGCACCAACTGGTACACATATAGGTTTCAACATCATCCCTTGCTAGGTTACCAGACTCTTTGATGGTTTGCAATACAACATCACCATTAACTCCATTTGGATACTTTTCTCTATATTCCTCAAGGCTTTTTTTGAGTTTAGCAACCAAACTTTCGAAATCAAATTCACTCTCTAAGGCCATTGCCGTGAAGCACCACACAAAATTCCCCAATATATTTTCTGCAAAGGCCTGCCCTGATGATCTTTTCCTCATGTTCATTGCTTGACAACACACTGATGGCTTTTTAAAACCCAAATTCAATCTTGATGCTTCCATTGCGCATTTCCAAATCAGCGCCGACACTGCTTCAACTCGTGTAGGATTTGGCACTATGGCACTGGTCGCTTTGGCCTTGAGAGCAGCAATATTTGAGGCATCAAACACAAACCTCCGTGTTATACATTTCTCTTTAGGAAAATGCACGGTGGGTTGGGGTGAGTTGAAGAAATCTTGGAGTGGGAATAGAGAAGCTGTAACACCAAATTCTGCAGGAAGCACGACTTGATCGGTAATGCTGGCTGAGCCAAGGGCAATTTGAGCCCAGCTTTTGATGAATGTGCTGAATGTTGAGGCATCAGCGACCTTATGTGAGATGCTGACCCCAATTGCCAATCCACCACATTCAAAGAAGTTGGCCTGAACTAGTAGAAGATAGCCTGCTTCTGCTTGTTTGGCTCCTATAGCAGCTGGAAGCAATTGATTTAGGTTCGAAAATTCAGGTTTGTCCAAAATCTTTGATATGGGACAATTGACTTGAGCTTCAAGAAAGGCAGCTCCATGATCATTGCAGCAGATGGAAACATTATATTCGAATTTTCCTGCAAAGGGGTAGAATCGAGTGAGGGCTTCAGATAACGATTTCTTTAGAAGCTTGGATTTTTCAGCAAACAAAGAATGATGATCAAAATTATCGATCTCATCACTACTGTTGGGATAGAAGAGAATTAATGGGATATGAATATCAGGTTGAAACTGATCAAAACCAGAGAGGCCCAAACTTCTAAGGTGGTGAGGAGTTGGAGATGATGGCTTAAACGTCTATCAAGGGTCAACTATATATGAATAACCTGCAACGTGTAATGTTATTATTGCAGTTTATTAATCTTCTTCATAGTTTTTTTTCTTCTCAAATGGGTACAACAGCTCGAGATAACGCGATCACTTCTCCAATGGGTAGATGCTCATAAAAAAATGCATGTGTATGGTACAGGTTGAGTTGAACATTGCAGGCTTAGCTGGGAAACAATGACCATGAGATTATTCATATTCTGCGAGTTGTCTGCCGCGCAAATCTCAAGGCCTGGAGTTCCGGGCCGAGGGGATGTGCGTTAACACGGGGTTACTAGCTAGAGTAGCACTTATGCATGCGCACTTTGTCTATACATTGCAAACATTATATATAAACTGAAGCAGAATCTTGTAATAATGGGAGACCATGAATTTGGACCCATGATTTTTTTCAACAAAATTATTGAGACTACCGGCGACACTATGAAGGAGGCAAACTCGTTTGCGGAAATAGGAATTTTTTTTTATTTTTTATTTTGTTCATTTGGTAGACTGCCAATATATGGAGGAGGGAGATTCAAACTGTGTAAGCCCGGATCAAGAGGTGGACTTATCCCACCAATTCATCAGAAAGAGTGTTTTGCTAGCTCTGTGTACAAAATGGGAAATCCTGCAATACCAACTTCTATGCATTAACACTTTGCAACTATATCACCAAGCTCTAAAGGGGAAAGGGGAGCAGAACACAAATCCTCTTTACAGATTACTTGTTCACATTCATTTCAATACTCAAATTTTATATCCGAAGCACTATGAGTAATATATAGAACTGCAGGTGTTTAAGTGAGAAAGCTCAAGTTTATTTTTTAATTGATTGCTTAGAAGAAATGAAAGGCTACAACACAACTACCCAAGGAAACTAAATTGCAGGCATATTTTTTGCTACTAATACTTAAATGACAGTTGGATTTAGAGAAGCGTATGCAAGCAGCTCCTCATTGCTTTCAATTATGGTCATGTCTTCTTCTTTCAAAGTCACCGACGCTTCTATGCCTTCCCCATCTCTCAAATCTATCAACATAATTGTATTCTTTACTGTACAACGAGTACTCACCAAAAATCCTCCCCATTTTGCTTGCTTTGTTGAGCCAATGTTTTACCAAAAAGATGACACTTGGGTTGGTTTGCCTTTCTCTCATTCGGTCAATTCACAACTGCCCCGCCCCACAAGCTTTGACCCAAATTACCCACTTAACCCCCATTTTCCTCACTTATTATTAGTTTTAGATCCAAAATCAATTATGTTCCTAGAATTATAACCTATATATGCAGAATTGAGGAAGACTTCCATGAAACGGGAATAACACTCTTTTGCTATTCTCGGCTAATAACGCTATGACACACGTGATAACATTTCTATATGAAATAGTATTATTGATCGGGGATAACAATATAGTGTATTCCCATCGCAAATTTGCAACTAAATTTTTTGTGTGCAGAATTATATACAAAGGATCATATGTCACATCTGTCATTTTATTATAAATTTAAAAGAAAATCAGTACACAGTTTGGTTAAGCCTTTTTTTTTCTTTTTTGTGGTCTAAATTGATTTGCCTAAAAAGGGGAAAATCAAAAGTGGAAAGTTCGGAAATTTTGGGATTTAGGGGTGTATTCAAGTAGGATTGTAGTTTTTATTAGTAACTCTTGAAATTATTCTAATCTAATGATAGGTACAAGGTTGTAAAGTAGTAATTGTGCCTAATACAGTTTGACCAAAAAAAAAATTCATAATTGATTTATTATTTTTCCAACTATATGATAGAATTCTTTTCTTTTCGAGTGTATAAGTTAATTAATTAGCACGAAGAAAAGGATAGAATTCGTTTTTTTGCGGACCCAATACATATTAAATGTAGACTCGATACATTTACACAGTCCACCCCTGGAATCTCTTCACAGCCCCCAAAAGATTGCGAAAAGTTCACAATATTATTAAATGTCTGATAATATAAATATCCAAAAAATTATAGTTTTGACCAAGCCTAGTAGCGTGGGCTTGTAACTAAGTAGGGCATTAAAGTAATTGGATGCTATGGAAACATTCTTAGGTGAGGCATTAGTGGTCTTGAATTGTTCACCTTGGCATTGGTGGGTGAAGTCGCAAAAAAGCACACCCCTACCCTCGGGTTTAGTAGGGTCTCCCAACCACAAAGGTTGGGTAGCTCAAGCAAACCATAAAAATTATAGTTTTGGGAGCTTTTTTTTTTTTTTTTTTTTTTTT